TACAACATTTCGCACTTCTCAAAAATTAGAAGTTTTACGTTTACATCGCATTATTTATGAATATTTTTCTAGAATTGTATATAATTCAAAAGCTCATTATATTTTCCGTCTCGCAGAACAAGAGAGAGTCAAGTTCTGTACATTGTTAAAGCTGTGTATACGCGAGAAGTGTAATAACTTTCAGTCCCGAGGGTATTATTGAAGATACATGTGCGAGACAAAATATATAGAATGAACCAAGGTAGTTTTTTTACTAAAACATTTTTTCAGGCAAACCGTTTAAGAAATATCTGTCGGTCAGCATCGATATTTTCCCTCCTTTATTAACATTTTTGCCTCTCACCACATTCGAAGAAATATTAGTTAGGATAAGTTTGTTGTTTTTGAATTACTTAACTTTTTAGGATATAAGTCATTTTCATCTTCACCATAGAGTAACATAACTAATTTACTTTTAATCTGTACAGAGAGATTCTCTGTAGAGAAGCAGCTTGATTGGATAAATACTTTCTAAGGGGATCCGATCCGAATATTTTGTAAGTGCCTAGTGAGTCTGCTTGGTAGATCCGTCTAGGCTAAATCCTGTGCACCAATGAAACCAATTCCCCAATTACGTTTCAGTGAACCCTAAACGACTCTAAAATTTTAATTGAAAGGTTTTTTATATTCTTCATATACTAAAGGGTTTACCAATAGGGACGATAGGATTTTAAACGTTTAAGGCGGCTATGTTGGATGCCAAACATTTGACATATGCTGTCAGTTGTCATCAGTAAGGCTTGCCATTTCATCATGAACAAGTTCACGTTGCCTCAACGCTTGGAAATTATCCAACAACATGCCACACAGCGAACGCTACAATGGACTTATTGCGTCAACAGTTTGGTGAATCGTTGATTTCTCAAAATGGCCCCCACAATTGGCCGCCAAGATCATGCGATTTAACACCATTGGACTTCTTTTTGTGGGGCTATGTGAAGTCAAAGGTTTATGCGAATAAACCCAAGACTCTTGACGAGCTCGAGGCCAACATTCGAGCGACCATAGCTGCCATTCCACCCGATATGATCCACCGAGTCATCGAAAATTGGTCCGATCGGATGAGCCAGTGCAAAAAGAGCCGCGGTGGCCATTTGAACAATATTTTGTTTAAATCATAAATGGCATGAAATACAGCATCTAATAAAACCAATCAAACCTAAATTTGACCAAATTGACTGTGTTTTATTTCAATTTAAAATCCTATCGCTCTTATTGGTAAACCCGTTATATTACCATTCACGAATATTTTAGAGACTCCTCTGATATTCTTCAGATTTTGTTTCCGGATTATGTGGACTTTCGACGTTTATCCATATCAAACAGTCCATTTACACTGTGTTCGATCTAAGAGAGTTACCTCAATATCTTTTATTTCGAGAGATACGAAAAATTTTTCATAATTTTATGACATTACGTTCTATCCAATCGCATATTGAAACTTCCGGTACCACTTCTGGTTTAACTTTTGTTTTTCAAATGCAATGTCTATGTTTTTTAAGATATTTGAAAAGAGCAATCAATCTTGCAGCACGGTCACATAAAATATGGATACCCTAGAAAATTAAAAGTATTTCTTTTAAAAAATTCTGTTAGTACCATACCTCTGTTTAATTGAGCTAAAGCTGGAAAGGTGCTTGTTGGTAGTTTAGTGACCGCTTGTCATTGTATGGCAATACGAATAGTAGGCTTTTTAGGCAGAAATAGCAGTGAACCGTTTAGCTTTGTTGGTTCCTATTGCATAGCGCCGTAGCAAAAGGTTAAATAAGAATGGGGGCTGGACACTGATGGAATCGCAGTAGAGGAACCGGTCACGAATTTTGCGTTGCTACCTTTTTGGCCTAAGCAGCTAAAGCTTAAGCGGAAAAACGAGCATGACTCGCCATTTCGGATAGTAGTCTGCGAGAATTTTTAATCGCGAATAGTACGTAGGTACCACAAATCGAAAAAACCGACCACGGTTACGGTTACCCGTTCCATAAATCGGTTTCATCGAATTTTATTAACGAGCTCCTAGCGAGTTTATAATTTTGTGGTGTCTGTCCGTTAGCACGATAACTCATAAACGGGTCCATTCGTTTACGATGAAATTTTGCAGGTGGATTCTTTATCAAATTTGTAGATCGGAGTTCGTGAATTGGCAATGTAGACCAAAAAATAAAATAGGCCCTTTTGACATCTCCGTTAGTTATGAACCGAATTGCATGGAATTCAATATGCGCATAGCTTTAGCCATATAAAACCATTCCAAAAGTTGAGCCTTATCGATCAGTATTCACAGTGCCCTTTGCGCATCTCGACCATTTGCAGACCGAATTGCAAACTTTATTATTTATGGAGGGATTTAAATTAAATTTGATACATAACCACTTGGAATAAAAGCAAATATAACGCCAGTTTCAAAATTTGGTTTTGCGCATGCACTGTGCCAACTTTCCTATTTATGGAGGCATTCAAATGAAATTTGATACATAGCCACTTGGAATAAAAGCAAATGTAGCGCCTTTTTCCAAATTTGGTTTTGTGTAGGATGTGCAGTGCCAAGTTTCTTATTTATGGAAGCAATTAAATGAAATTTCATACATATACACTAAGCAAAACTAACATCAGGTTTAAAATTTGGTTTTGCACATGCTATAGCCATACCCAGGAGCTCGTTTGCTATATTTGTTTAATTTATTTGTTTTATGGAACGCGGTTCATCGAATTTGGTTATGTCTGGTTGCAAGATGCAACCAATATAATCACGCTATTTGCCCGATTAAAAACAATATGGTGGAAACGTCAAAACAAATCCATGCTTGGTGGAAAGTGGCGTCAAGATCGCAAAGTGAAAATGCGGCGAGCCCCGTGTTAAGAAAGTAATCCAAAACAAGCCAATTTTCAATTATGTGCCAATAAAAAATTGACCGTAATTAACAATTGTTTAAGATGTAACTTCCAAATTACATTGAATTCTGTTATCTGTAAGAGGTCAGGTCAACAAAAATTTTCCTGTGTTTAATAATAAAGCGGCGCATACAAATATGAGGTAAATAACACGACTTTTGCCAATGTACATTTGGCATAAAGGATGTAAAACTGTCCACTACACAGAAATCTCGACGATATTTTCAGATAATACGGACTATAAAGGTATTGTATTTTTTTTATATTTTGTTTCATTCAAAAAATCGTAAATTATTACGGTAATGTGGAAAGAATTTCAAGTAGTAAATTAGGTTTCCTATTCTTTATATGTTTTTTTAATGAAACTTAACTCTTTCGAATTAAGAGGATTATTTATTGTTGTTATATTAGAGTTTTAGTTATGTACTTATTCCCATTTAATTACCAATGTATAGAGTTCTCAGGATTCCTAATAAAATTTTATGTTGTTTAAGAAATCACACTAAATCATTTTCCGTTGGATGGAGCTGGTCGGTGCAACCCACTTTTTGATGCCTTTTAAAGTACATCAGTTTAAATTTTGCCCGTTAGAACTTTTTCATTATTAAGGGGAACCAATAAGTATTGATCTTACATACTAAACGAAATAAAGTTTTTTTAAACATCGGCAGCTATTATTCCAGGCCTAGACTCTTGGAACACGTTCTAGGAACAATTCGTAGCCCAAGGCACAGTTTCTTTTCCACTTTACACCATATTAGTATCTACACTTCGAATTGTAACATCTTATATGACACAAACACAAATCAAATAGTATATTAAGATACAAGTGTATAATCAAGTCTTTAAAGCACGCGCAACGAGTTTAAGGGCACGACGCAAAGCGGAGTGCCTTTAACGTTGCAAGTGCTTTAAAGACCAATTATACACGTATATCTTATAGTATTTTTTATTATACCTGCAGTATAATTTAAAAATAGGAAATACAATGAAATCATATTGACGTTATACTCGAATACATGTCTAATTAAGTGGGCTGGGTGTTCGTAATTTCACGATTGCCATGGAAATGTCACTTGACGTTTGCTTATAAAAATCATCGTCTTTGTGAATTAAACGATTTCCGTTGAAAAAGATAATACACCGTCCATTAAATCGATTGTTGTAAAATCTAAACACACGTTGGTAGGTGTAAAATCCAAATCCAGTAAAGCCTATTATAAAGAATATGAAAAGTTGTTTCCATGGATGGACTAGGAAGTTACTTACGAATAAAGTCTTAAATGCATCCATAATGCTGGAATATATGAAGGAAATGTCAAAGGTATTTAAATCTTCTATATTTTGGTGCATTCATTCAAAACTTTAAAGCAATGCTGCGATTAAAAAGTGGAACAGATTTGGAAGCATACCTTAAATTACGCGCGTTTGTGAAAGCTTCAACCAAAGGATAGGTACAAAAGCCAAAGAAATGTTCTGCATTTACAGAAAGCGACCTAAGAGGATTTTTTATTTCATCCAGATGACAGTTTCAAAAGTCATACTTGAAGTATCGTTACTTAGCAACTTTAAAGCACGTGTGTTTTAAAGGCCCTTTTTCGCACGCATTTGAGTGTTTAAAACGGAGATTGTGATTCAGGTATAATAAAAAAATATCGTTTAGTGACAGACGGTTAATCTGTACTTTCTTCTGAACAATAAGTATCCAGCAACCGAGACTTTTTTCTAAATCAGAAACGCTACATGAGACGATATGGATATAGTGTCAAGCAGGCTTTAAGATTCAATAGATCGATGCCGAGCAGCCATCCAATAGTCTGTTTATCTAGAATTTTTCCTTCTTCAGAATTGCCAAATAAGTATGTAAGTGATGTTCATCAGTCAATGACGGTCTAACGATTTTACTTTCTATTTCCAATAAGTGGGTGCATAGATTTGCTATGCAATTACACAATAATTTAACCGTACCTACTCGATAAAAACTGTATATTGCAAAACTAAATTAAATACTCGCCAAGTACGAATTTTTATGTCACCAGTCACGGTAACGGTTTCAAAATGTATCATCTCAAGAACGGAACTAGTGTAGTAGGTACCATGTCTGGGGACTGTCGAAGGTTATTATAGGTCAGAGACGTTGCTGATTCACGAATGTTAATCAAGTTTAGTAGGTATACTCCATTTATATTACGACCCTACTTTATAAACTGTTAGAGAAATTAGTTACAAAGCAAACACGTGAGCAAATTGTTAAGCGTGTAGTACGCGCAATGGTAAATTGACTGTTATTAAAGTAACGACAATGAATGGCAGTGCACGTTTCGCTAGACGAAGTTCTACGCAAACAAATACCGTTCCAAAAAAAAAGAAAAACCAGATCTACACGTTGTTGTGGAGCTGTTGCTTATTTTTCGCGATTTTGTGCGCGTGTTTACTGGCGGCGTTAGTGCTAATCGGAAAATCTTTATACTTAAAACGTAGTGTGTTCGTGGAAGATGTGCCGATAGCAAAAAATGTCATCAATTTTCGGTTACCGAACGACACAGTGCCAATTCACTATGACCTAACCTTCGAACCAAACCTCCAAAATGGAACTTTTGATGGACACATTAACATAACTTTAAAAATTGAAAGGGCAAGAAGAAGTGTGGTTGTTCATAGCAAAAACTTAACAATCGATCATGTGAAGTTACTTCGGCCAAATAGTTCTGCAGGGCTGACCATAACTAATTTGGACATTAACGAAGATTTGGAGACCATAACTGCCAACACAAGCGAGGAGCTCTTGGCGGGTACCTACTACTTATATTTTAAGTTTAAAGGAAGCATGTTAAACAAGTTGGTGGGCCTTTACAAAAGTGTTTATACAGACTCTCTATCAAATGAGACCAGGTAATTATTGTAATTGTTATTAATTATGTGTTTAAGCAATGAATGTTTGTTTATGGGTATCGACCGACGACCGACATAGTGAAATTTCAAAGATTAAAAAAAATGATCTGAACTTTCTCGAGGTACCTTTCTAATTTAAAATAACACACTTGATGTTGAGATAGATATTGCATTTGGACAAGTTACTGATTGAATCACTACTTTCCATTTCGTAGATTTTGATCATGATGCATACTGTATACCTAATGAGTTTTTACTTTTTGCCTATCACGTTCGATAAATTTTAGCTTAGCCGTTTTTGAATGTGGAAATGAATAAGTGATCAGTCCACGTGTAAAGAAAAAGAATCACCTGATTTGTTTTCCGCACTATTATAATCCTCTGATGTTTGTAGTTACGTTATATAGTTATTGAACTTCAGTGAACAGTGATCTAATCTAATTGCTATTGAAATTGAAAATAATTTCTATACTATCGTTTATGAATAAATACCACAGTAGTAGATTGTAGATAGCGCACCTATTTTTAAAATTACTTATCATATGCAAGGTTGGAATGTACACTGCTGACATACATACAGCAGGGTCAAGCAAGATCGATTATTGTGCAAAAAATTGGAACTCTCTACCAACTATGCACACGAGTTTTTTTTTAATTGGGTGTAATAATAAGGTTCAAAATATCTATGCGATTTTTTTGTGGATATTCTTCAATAATTTGAAATATAAACTAAGATGCATTACGAACCGTTACGCATTTTGTCGTCTATGGCATGAGTTATAACATGGACAAACCAAATTGGTGGTCACATTAGTTAGATTGGCTTGTAGAGATAAAATAAATGTATCTATGGATGCGCGATTGTGCCCAAAAGCTCAGCTCTTCCTCTTATGTGTAAATTTCAGGGTAAATTTGGATCCAATCGGTTCAGCCGTTTACCCGGAAAGACAGACAGGCAGACGGAGATCATGGAGAGTATGTTTAATTCGGATTCCTGGTGCTTCAAAACGTGTATTTCCTTCAAAAAAGTGGGGGATCATTTTGTACCCATTAGCATTAGCAATCCCTTACTAACGTTCGCGGGATAAAAAACAGAGAGCTAAGAATCAAAAAGATGAATGAAAATTGAGTTTCATGGTGATTTGAAATTGACAGCAACACCTGAGACAACCTTGACAGATAAGGCACTTTAGTTCATAGGTATAGATATAAAACTATGCGATACGTAGATGTGTATTCAATAATTTCGACCCACGGATCCGACTCTCATTACACAATGTCGACGTGAAACTCGCTCCTTACTACCAAAAATACTGGACTGCCACTACTATGGAGCGGGTGTTTTCATTAGTTAAAAGTGTTGGCACTACACTAAGGATCAGTTTCTCATCTTTCAATTATTATTATTATTATTCAATTATCTGGCAGTTCATTTCCAAAATACGTTTCTTGCAATTTTGTACCAGATAAAAAATGGTTGTCGTAGAGCATGGACTATGTATACAGAACATCCCAGAAAACACAGTTACATATCTTCTATTTGATATTTAACGCTGTTACGTTACAGGAATAAGAGTATAGCTACAGTGTTACATGAAACTTACATGCAACTTACAATTTCCCACTCAAAGCAACCTTCTATTATTACAGGTAAGAGAGCTTAAATATTAAAGCCCGCTTTGAAAACGATTGTTATGAACCGAAATAAAAATAACCCGCGGTTTAACTAAGCCCGAGGGCAATTTAGCAACATGGTGTTTTTATTCATTACCAAAGTTGTCTGATAAAACAGTTGTCTATAATCCGGTAAAAAACGATGGCCAAAAATCGAATTTAACCTATTTGTGTTTCAAGAAAAAAATGGAATTTAGCCCATTTTTACTTTTGAGCCGGCTTAAGTTAAGATCCTATGGAGAATACGGGCATAAGAAAATTATAATTCAAATTAGAACAAAATACATAAGAATAAATAATACGAGAAATAATATTTAACGAATATAACATCAAGTGTGCTCAAATTGCCCACCTCCTTATTCTAGACACAATCTTCCTAAGATTTGCTATGGCTCTTGACACATCCTTTCTTCCAATCTTAAGCCTGAGAGTGGTGATCATTCTTGGACGAAGTTCATCAAGGTCGGCTAGCAATACTTTGTAAATGTCATTTTTCATTGTCTCCCCATAAAAAATAGTTCAAAGGATACAGGTAAGGTGACCGCGCCGGCCAGCATATGTCACCATTATATTAGCGTGATTGGGGAACAATTCCTACAAGCATTCCCCAACCTACCTAGCATTCGGGGGCGGTGCGCCATCTTGCTAAAACGTATTTGTGTGGATTACAAAACTAATCAATAAAAGAATAGTCATCTCTAATATTAGCCCATCTATTCCCCATGATATTGCAGAAACTGCTATCAAAAACTTAGGCTTAAATCTAGCATCTCCCGTATCGTTTCTCAGAGCGGGCATTCCTGGAGAAGAATACAGTCATATACTTAGCTTCCGTAGACAAGCCTACGTTTTTTCACCTACAGAAGATTTCGAACTGCAAACCTCGCTGGTTATCGCTCATGACGGAAATGATCACAGAATATTCCTGTCTACGGATAAAATGGAATGCTTTATATGTAAACAAAGTGGACATATTGCAAGCAATTGTCCAAGTCCTCCCCCAAACAACCTACCACCAAAAACACATGAGAAACCATCATGTACAGAAAATTCAACAACTTCTGTACACCAGCCAAACACATCAGTAACTGCCATCAAACCCTCTCAGAAAAGATGCCACTCGGATACTTTAACTTCTAGCGACCATATCAACCTTCAGGGTGAAAGCACGCAGGAGGTCCTTCAAGAGCCTCCTGTCATGCCTCCTCCTGAAATTACTCCCAAGGCTATCAAACCAGTCAAATCAGCCAGAAAGCGGCGCAAAACGAACATTTCCCCAGAAACGGTGCTTTCAGAAGACACTAAGTCAATCATTCGTGAAAGATATCAAACCACACCAAGCGCCTTCACTCTGCCGGTCGAGCACTTCATTGCATTTTTAGAAAACACATACGATAATAGCGATCCATGCCAAGAAGCCTTAAAATTTACTTCTGATATTAAGTCTCTATTATCTGACATCCATAGGATATATCCATTCCTAAATGAAAGATCCATTAAAAATAGATTCACTCGACTAACGAAGAGAATCAAAACTAAAACAAACTTTAACGCAGAAAAGCTGGATTCTTCAACAAACTTTATTTCAGAAGAACTGGAAACGGGAAGCATCTCTAGCATATTTTCCCAATCATCCGAGGATCTCGATGAGGAAGACTCTTTTTCAGACGATCCTCAACTGTCACACATTTCTACCTCTTAATAAAATTCCTTTCAACCTGATTCAATGAAACTGCGATGGATTTCATCCTCGCCTTGGAAGACTACAACAACTAATCTCGGAACACCTACCTGACATTTTGTGCCTCCAAGAAACCAACTTTAAAGAGCTGCATAGTAAATTTTTGAAGAACTTTGAAGGCTATCATCATCTTAGATCCGAGTACGTCCGAGCGAGCGGTGGTACTTCAATTTTTGTATCTTCTAACCTCTTTTCAGAAACATTCCCTATCACAACTAACCTAGAAGCCTTAGCCGTAAGCGTATGGTGCCCAACTAAAATTACCATCTGTAGCATTTACATTCCACCCAACCACAGCTTAACTGCAGCAGAAATCAATACTTTAATCGTCCAGTTACCCAATCCTTTTATCCTTGTAGGAGACTTTAACGCACACAACAGAATATGGGGATCAGAACAAACTTTTGGAAGGGGGAAAATCATTGAACAAGTCCTAAATAATGACAATCTATGTCTCCTAAACACGGGCAGCCACACTCATCTAAACTTTGCAACAGGCAACTTTTCCTCAATTGACCTTAGCTTCAGTGACCCAATAACTGCAACAGCTATTAACTGGCAGGTGTTAGATAGCCTATATGATAGCAATCATTATCCCATACGGATCTTTGACTCCATTCCAAAAGTAAACCTTAGTGTGACCAAATGGAGAATCTCTCGTGCCAACTGGGATCTTTTTAGCGCCGATGTTAAAACCCAAACTGATCAGCTAGAATTTTCCGACAATATCGACACAGCTACAAATCAGATGGTCAACTGTATACTTACATCTGCAGAAAAATATATTGGAGAGCACGAAATTAAAGGTACTTGTAGACGTGCCAATGGCCACTAGTAGTCGAGGCACACAAATTAAATTAAAAAAAAAAAAAAACTAATCAAATAATTTCCGAGGATGGAGCAATAAAATTCAGTAATGTTTTTGTTATATTGGCTCAACATGAAAATTTACCTCCTTTCTTCTGCATTCTTTACATGTGATCTAATCTCCATACGCACAAAAGTGGGCTGTTCTTGAATCAATTTAGAATTTTTCTCTTGGCATGCACTGCAATTGGATCAGATGTGGATTTTAGTATAGGTACGCCTATGTGAAACCACATCGTCCGTAGCGTTAGCTTAGCATGAACACATTGGGTATTTTATCTGTGGCATGAATAATACAGCTTTTACCAATAATTCACTCCGTCCGTTCGACGGTTTTAGTTTTCAGCACTAAGAGTACTTTTTCTCTTATTTTTAGTTTTGAAATTGGGTTTGCGCATTTGTACTTAAAATTAATTATAGTGTTGTAGAAGTAAGTAGAAGTAGAAGTGATAATCCGAACTCGTGTCGACAGTAAATCGGTAATCATCAGTAAACAATTTTCAATGTTGCTGATAGTCGGGTACTGACGACAGCTTTGTGATTGCAAATTGAAATTGGGAACTTTCAAAATTCGGTTAATGCATGAGATTTCGGAAAATTACTGAAAGGTTACGGCGACTATGAGTAATTTGGGTATAATTTCTGATTTATTCCTGGAAGTAAAATTGTGCATGTAAGGTATTGCCGCAAGTGAGCACCTCCTCTGTTTGAGTACTTATTCCAAAGTATAAAATGTAAATAAAATTAGGTATACTTTGATAAATCTAATCACAAGGTGATGACTAAACATAAAAATTAATAATACAGTTACATACATACCTTCGACTTGCTTATTCATTTATTTGGCGGTTAATTTTTGTGACGCATGTTTATGCACGTAGGCGTCCAAGTATTCCTTTTTCTTGTTTTGCTTGGGAATAGTTGAAAATTGATTATTATTAGTCCCATTTAAATATAAAGGTAAATGTTGATTTTGATCGGTATTTTTTATGAAGCCACGCGTAATTTGAGTTTGCGTTTATCAGAAAAGCTGATTACGCTATGGATGGTTCGTCTTTGATTTTTTATTAAATAAAAATGCGAAATTATTGCTTTTATTTCAATTGTTTTTGTTTTTGCATAGAATTTTCTTATCATTAGAAACTATTTGCTAGGTTTTGTTTTCGTGTGAAAGGGACATCTGTGTGTGTGAAGTGGTTCATGTGAACGCTTGTTTATAAAGGAGTGTTGGAAGAAAACTAGGAAATTCTCTTTGGTCTTGATGCTACGTTCCGCTTGAGGACGTTGAGTTTCTGTCACAGTTTCGCATGCAGAGATTGTTTGTGTTGTACCGCTACAGTCTTGTGTCAGTCAAATTCGTTATAAAATTGAAGGTCAGCCTACATCGGTAACAATGTAATCGAACTAACAGATATGAATCTTCTTAGTAACCAGAAAGTAACATAGACAAATCGGGTCTCGATAAGTATATTCTTCGGCAACGACACAGGTAGTGTAAGTAAGATCAGATGTATCGGGCCACTTTACAAGATCATTAACCTCTAAGGTGTCTTATACTTGCAGTTATAAGGAACAATATCGAAGTCTCTAAGTACAAATCTCGAAATAGTTACACATGGGCAATGTAGTTAGAATTTCACAAGTCGGTAATGTAGAAACCTCCACGCGTCGTTCGTCACTCTTGCGAAAATGGCTAGTCCAAATAAAAATGCTAAATCATCCACGTACTGCATCAGTAATGCGTAAATATCTAAGCAGGTCAAACGTAAAATGTAATGACGATAACAATGAGAAACGATAAGGAATTATATGCAAAAGGTGAGGAAGTTAAAGGTAAAACTTAAGGGAAGGTTAAAGCCTTAAAAATACATACATAATGAGAAAAGAATGCTGGGTCATAATGTAACATACCTCGTATTGTTCAGATGCAAAATACTAACCCGTATAAACGTTGCGATGTAGTCACCAAGACATCAAGGAGAAAGAGAATACCACTCCAAAGGTAATAATTAGAATCTATTTAGAAAATAAGTAGAATCGTTTAAAAATCATGAAGAATTCAAACGATCTGACCAGAGCAATTGTTTAACTTTAACGCCCGTTATTTTTCAGTATATGGGCATATAGACGAAGTATGGGTTTTATTTCATTGGGAACGGCCGCAGTTAAGTGATATACATTCAACTGCCTACTTTTAACTTTATAAAGAAAATATTTTCATGGTTCTCCATAAATATCATCAGAAATGCATTACGAAGTGCATACGAACTAAATACCAAAATACCAGGAACCAAACCACAACACTATGTCGCTACTGACTACATTTGTCTCTAAATTGGTGGCGATAGGTATTTGATTTGTTGGTGGTAAAAAAGTGCAACGTGAGTTCCATCAATAAAAGTTGCATATCACACTGCTCAATATTTTATGCTCATGAAGCTGGACAAGCATTTCCAATGGATTATTTTAGTTCCGTCACTAACAGTTGTTAATTAATTTTTCCAGACCTATCGCCACTTCAAAGTTTGAACCGACCTATGCCCGCCAAGCTTTTCCATGTTTCGATGAACCAAATATGAAAGCCAAATACACCGTCAATATTTTAAGACCAAATGTTGACAACTACATTGCGTTATCGAATATGCCTCAAAAAGTAAGTGGTCACAGCTACGTTCGCCTGATGCGATTAATAACAATAAACGTCACCGACTTCCTTATAAATTATTTTATTTATTAAGTAGTTTAGTACTTTGTTGTTTAATTTAGTTTTGTATGATACATATTTTAATGTTATAATAGGGGGAAACTCCAACGGAGAATGGTGTTATGGTTCACTTCGCGGAGAGCAAATACATGTCCACCTATTTATCTTGCTTTATAGTGTGCGATTTTATCAGTAACAATGGTGTAATTAAGTCGGAAGGCGGAGAACTTATTCCATTGAGAGTGTTTTCGACCCCCGCCCAAATCAACAAGACTGCGTTTGCATTAGATGTCGGATCGAGCGTAATGGAATACTTCATCAAGTACTTTGGTATTCCTTACCCGCTTCCCAAGCTAGGTTTGCTCACAGCCTGTGGGAGAAATACAATTCTAAGCAAATCATTGCAGATTTAATTGCAATTCCCGATTTTATCTCAGGCGCCATGGAGCATTGGGGTTTAGTTACATTTAGAGAAACTGCTTTGCTGTTTGACAACAAAATAAGCTCGGCAAAAAATATGCAGCGCGTGGCTAGTGTAATTGCGCACGAATTAGCTCACAGTTGGTTCGGAAATTTGGGTAAATTGCTCGACCTTGCGCTAACGTATCTACTTAGCGAATTTTAGTGACGATGAATTGGTGGAATGACTTATGGTTAAATGAGGGATTTGCGTCCTACATACAATTTAAAGGCGTTAATTTCCGATTTAAAGACTGGCAAATGGTGAGCAACACTTTATAGTGATTTTTAGTTGTACTAATCAATTGTAGATGGATCAATTTTTGATCGATACTTTACATTCAGTTATGTCAACAGATGCAACTCCTGCATCACATCCCATAGTAAAAACCGTAGAAACTCCCGATCAAATTACCGAAATTTTTGATGCCATCACTTACAACAAAGTAATATTTTACGCTGTTTTGGATTTGTTTGTTATCATGTATTTGTAGGGGGCGTCGGTGCTTAGAATGCTAGATCACGCTATCTCCGAAAAAGTATTCCAAAAGGGGGTGACAAATTACCTACTAGCACATAAGTGGGGAAACGCCGTTACGCAAGACTTGTGGGACGAATTACAAAAACTGGTACCAGAAACAACAAATATTACTGATATCATGAGCACTTGGACTGTTCAAATGGGATATCCTATAGTGACAGTAAATGAAAATAATGATACCTACGTTTTGACTCAGAAACGGTTTTTAAAAGATTATTCGAAACCTGGAAATGTCAGTTCGATATATGGGTATGACACCAATTGTAAAGTAATTATAATAGTCACGTAGGTACATAATTGCAGGTATAAGTGGAGCATTCCTATCACATACATTACCGATAAAGGCATTAGTCAGACGAATACAATTTGGTTTAAACACGACCAGTCTAACCGTAAGTTTCTGATTGGAAAGTCAAGATTGATAAAGGAGAATTTTAGTAAAAATAAAAAAGCCTGAAGGAATACGTTGGATCAAATTTAATCACAACCAAGTAGGCTATTATAGAGTTAACTACAGCCCAGCTTATTGGAATGTACTTGCTAAAAATATAAAGGACATGACCATATCTGATAAAACACATTTGATTGAAGAATCGTTCAGTATTGCCGAAAGTGGAGATTTGTCATACAGTATTCCATTGGAATTAACAAAGTACTTAGAAAACGAGACTAATTACATTCCTTGGAGCGTCGCTTCTTCAAAATTAGGAGGTCTGAAGAAGTATCTCGTCGATACATTGGATTTTCCACACTATAGCGTAACTTAGTACCTATTTTGCGGCTAACATTTTTATGAATTTAAATTTTTAGCGATACATGCTTAATTTGGTTGAACCCGCCTATGTCGCTTTAGGATGGAACGAGAAACCAGAAGATTCGCACTTAACGAGGTCCGCTTTAATTGTGACTCCGGAAATGATAAACATTTTAATTGTAGGAGAGCTCGAGTCATTATCTTAAATTTTGCGTGCGAAAACGGCCATGCGGAATGCCTAAAAGTTGCAAAAACTAAGTTTCTTTCATGGCTCAACGATCCGGCCAATAACCCATTATCGCAAAATTTACGTGGAATTATTTACTATCACGGTAGATTTGCACGCATTTGAGAGACTAAGTTAGGTATACATATTTCTGTAGGTTTAAAAAATGCTGGTCAAGAAGAATGGTTTAAGTTACTGGAATTACTCAAAAAGGAAATTGACGCCAATGAAAAGTTGAACATGCTTCACGCCCTGGCGGGAGTTAAAGAAGCGTGGCTTTTACACCAGTAAGAGTAGCAGATGCAGTTCTGTCTTAATTTTCTGTATTTTTTCGCAGTTTAATTCAACTAGGAACCATAGAGGGTCAAAACCAAGTCATCAGGGGCCAAGATTACTTTACTGTTTTACAGTCCATTGCAGAAAACCCCATCGGTACAGCTTTAGTGTGGAATTACGTGAGGTACACTATCATCTTAGTCGCTCCTACATTTAACATACAACTTATAGGGAAAATTGGCCGTACTTGGTAAAGAGGTTCACTCTAAATGATCGTTTCTTGGGACGTTTAATTCCGGAAATCACGAAAACGTTTACTACCAAAATTAAGCTTGATGAGGTAGTTTCATACCGATGTTTACTTATTATTTAATTCTGATTAAATTTAATTTCAGATGGAGTCTTTCTTTGCGATTTACCCTAACGCGGGTGCTGGGACTGCAGCACGGGAACAGGCTCTTGCTACTGTCAACAACAATATAAAGTGGATCTCTAAAAATCGAGATGACGTTGTCAAATGGATGAGACAACAAAATTCCGCCAGCCATGAGAGTTAATTTGTTGTAAAAAATAGTTTAATAAATTTTTCAGTTTTGTAAATATCTTGTTTTGTGCTAGGTTAAAGCTGCGTCTGTATGACCCAAAATTCTAATGTTGTGGTGCAAATATTGCAACCGTAATTAAATAAAATTGGAAGGTTGAATTGAAATTTTTAAAGTGATATGCACTTCCTACATTGCTTCTGGCTTTGGGTACGGAAGGGGACGATTGATAATGTCCTATGATGGATAATGCTGTATGTTGAAGCAAAATTTCGTGTGGCGGCAGGGCCGTGGCCAGACTGTATAATCAGGGCAGGCTCACCAAAATTCAGGACGGGCGGCCTATTTCTGAACTATGACAAAAGAAGCACACATATACGCCATTTTGGGAATAAACCTATGATTACTATGCCACTGGTTCAGTGAAAATTGCGTTACAAGCCTATACAAACTTGTCTAAATCATATCGAGAATAGGCCCCCAGGCTGAAATCTGAAAAATCCATATTTTGACATTTGTTACCTATATTTCTATAGTTCCTGCAAACGGTTCTTAAAGTTTTTTTTCAAAGTACCTATCGTAATTAATTTTGTTCGCAAATAGTGTAGGTAGTAGAGTAGAGCAGGTACCTACCTTTACTTATATACTTAATATGAAATCAAATCAGAATGACCAATGGCATGGAAACAGTAAGTCATGTTTTATATATGATATATTGCAGTGTAATTCACCGAAATGCCGAGGAAGACCCACCCCAAGTGCACAAATGCGTGCAAATGTTATGCAAAATTTCAGGTCTACTTATACGACTTACAGGCTACAACTAGAAGATTTACGGTATTTATTTTCACAAGCACCATTTAAAATTTTTATTTTACAATTAACTGTTTGTTTTTTAAGTTAATCTTTTTGTAATTAGTCGACTGAAGGACCATAAGCTATATTTTTTTTGGTTAAATGATAATTTCCGCCCGAACCATACAAATACATAAGTAAAAAGTTGGACACGTACCTGGAGTGGCTTATTTCGGTGAGCTGCTGTACCGGCTGATGGGGACCCCCAAACATTAGTTTGGTTTTTTCACTTTTAAATTGATAAATGCGCGTAAAACTCGTACATGCTTAACTTAACTCTGCGCACATTGTTCCGTCTTCGCTAGCCCTTCTCTCTTTATTTTGAAGAGTTTTCGCGAATCCGCCCGAGTGCCCGATTGTACTTGTATGATTTGAATTTTTATTGAATTTATAGCGCGTCGAAATAACTGAGGTGTTTTTATAGGTTTGTGAACACGTGTCAATTTTTTAAAAACAATTACAGTAATATTATCTAAAAATGACACAATACATTTTTCAAAATGACCTACTACTACATTAAATGTACTCTGGAACAAATTTAGTGCTTATCAAAATATCAGACGATAGGTAATAGAAATCAAATGTCATTTACTTTTATATACTTGTTCTTTTACGTAAGCAATCGCATGAGAGATGTCGATTCCATTGCCCGTTAGGTTCTATATTTATAAATAAAAATGAATATTTCTCTCTTGTCTGTATGACTCTTATGCCTTCCTAAACCGTTTATCCGATTGCGATGAAACTTTGGGAAATGGTTGGATATAATATGTCCGCAAAGGTTTCTGATTTAGTGAAACACTTCCCGAAATTCCCACGGGAACGGGAAAAAAACGGGATTTTACGTTTTATAATCGAAATTGCGGAAGGTAGAGACTTACACCTTTAGAATGTTCCTAGGTTTCTTTGAAGGCGTTAGAGGGTGATGTTTACACGCGTACCAAGTCGCGGGCAAATGCTAGTGTGTAAGCTACTTTTTCCAAAAAGAAACGCTTGGGAAGTAAGTAATTTAAATTGAGGCAAAAAAGTAAAATATAAAAAAGACAATTTACATATTCCAAATGATATAATAAGTCTTAACGTTATCAAATAATATCTTTTGGATTTGTAGATGTAGGTATCTTATCGCAGTAGTCCTTGCACTTCACCTTATCAGATAATCATAAAATTAACCTAATTTAAAGCAAATTTTGTTTGTACAATCAAACTTGATCAGTAGGTAGTACCTACTTACCTATCTGTTACAATGGGTGCAAAGAAAACAGCGGTATCATTCGCGTTAATATTTTTTATTACTGCTACAATTGCATTTCTCGTATCAACTGTAGTTATGGTTCTTCAAAGGGACGAACTGCAAAATGAAGTAGATGATTGCAAACAACATAATGGAGGACATTCAACAGCTGCACCTCCCGTGTTTACCACAGCACAAACTACAACTGTAGCACCAGAACAAACTACAACTGTAGCACCAGATCTAAGTGGCTACAGATTACCATCACACATAGTGCCGAAATCATACGACCTTACACTTTATCCAAATTTGGAAGATGGCACATTTAGGGGTGTGGTTAAAATTAAAGTGTATGTTCAGATCGATAGTTCGGAAATTCGAATTCACAGCAAAGGCCTGAAGATTGACAAGGTTCTCATTGACGGAATTGCATCGTCGGTTGAAGAAAACAAAATTTATGAATTGTTAATGTTGTCGAAACCCAACGCGGCAGTCATACAGAAGGGTAACCGAGACATACAAATTGACTACAGTGGTGACATGAAGAATAGGATAGTTGGACTCTACACCAGCAGTTATATAGCGGAAGGGGGTAAAAAAATGTATGTAGCTTTTTGCGTTTTTCATCCAAAGGTTATTTATGTGTAACGATAATTTTGATTAATCAAAACGTAGGTATTAGAAAACCTTCTGTTCCTTACGTTAAGGAGGCCAATTCGTTAAAATCGCTGGAATCTAATTTTGCATAGCGCATTTTATACTTCCTTTTAGTTTCAAACGCTGCTTGCTGCTTATACGAGTATATTCTATATTTGTCTTCTTAGCAAGAGCAATTATTATTTACTTAGCAGCTTTCTCCTTTGTATAAGGCAGTTTTCAATAAGTAATTGTACTATGAAAACAGTCGAACACATTTATCAACTAGATAAATTACCTATCAATAATGTACCCACTCGACTTCAAATTGTGATAATTTTATTAATGTAGAACCGAGCCTAGGAATTCGCTGAGATTTGGGATTTAATGTACCTACCTATTCCGCCTGTATCGAACCCTTCGTGACACAGGGGCAAAGGTGGGAAGATCTTACCCAGAGACGGCGGGCACTAACTCCGTGCTTAGAGGCCGGGCGCAAGACGAAAATGCGGGCGTCCTTGGCGAGAAGCGTGCTAATAAATAATAATATTCAAATTTTCAAAATTGTGCCACGACATTAGACAAGGGACCTAGTTTGACCATGGAAGCGTAGCATGTTTCACGTATCAAAATAGTCTTTGATCCCCTTCATGCCCCTTGCTTTCCAAAATCCACGGAAAAGATAACGACCAATAGAAGTTTCATGAAGAAAATGATTTTTTATTTTTGAAGCACAGATGCTGTCTTGATGTCATAACGCAGGTCATTCCTAGTTCCAGGATTATATTATCTTTTTCCTGTTGCTTGGCTTAGAATGAAAATAAATGTAGTAGGTAGGTACTTCCTACTTACTAAGACCTATGCGCGATGCGATGCGATCAAAAATGAGTTGCTGTCTAGTCACTTTTGGAATTTCTGTTTACATGGGAAATCGTACTTCACTTGAACTTCCAAAGGCGACTCGACAGCAACTCATTTTTGATCGCCCGTTATTTATCATTGAAAACTTCGTTTCACAAGCCAAACTCCTCTACCTACTGTAAGGGATTTTTATAAATTATACCTAAGTACAGAATGTAATCACATTTCCCACAACCTACAAGGCGGCTACAACAAATTGGCCATTCATATCAAATCAAAAACACTACAAAATACGTCGCGGTGTGATATGATTGGTAACTGCGGCATGATCAATTATATTACCAATTGTTTTAGGTAACAGAAACTAAAAATTTGCTAGATAATTTGCGCGTCAAGGGTTCCTGAGTTGAGCCAAATAATGAATAATCATAGATAATAAAAATCAAACAAGAATAAAACCCTCTAACCAACACAATTTAAACTAAATCCTGTTTTAGTCCTATTGCGACATCAAAATTCGAACCAACCTACGCCCGTCAAGCGTTCCCATGCTTTGATGAACCAAATATGAAGGTCAAATTCACTGTCCATATTTTGAAGCCCGTTGCGAAAGAGTATATAGCTCTTTCAAACATGCGTCAAACAGTAAGAATAGCGCACAGTTTGCACCCAATTAGTTATAATTTCAGAGTGAAATCGCAACCGAAGGAGGTGTGATGGTGGATTTTGAAGAAAGTAAAGAGATGTCGACGTACCTTGCTTGCTTTATAGTTTGCGACTTTGAGCACACCAAAAGTGTTATTGAAGCTAATATTGGCGAGAAAATTCCACTGAAAGTTTTTGCAACACGTGCCCAAGTCAAAAATACACAATTTGCGTTAAATAGCACTGTAAATATTATGAAATATTTTATTGAGTACTTCGATATACCGTATCCACTTCCAAAATTGGGTAACTAAATTATGTCTGATGTTGAAGTCGAATTTAAGACTTGTTGTAGATCTCATCGCAATTCCCGATTTCGTTTCTGGTGCAATGGAACACTGGGGGTTAGTCACTTTTAGGGAAACTTCCTTATTGTACGACGAAGAGAAAAGCTCTTCTGGTAATAAGCAACGAGTTGTTGAGGTGGTAGCGCACGAGCTTGCTCATAGTTGGTTTGGAAATTTAGTGACAATGAATTGGTGGAACGACTTATGGCTAAATGAAGGATTTGCTTCTTACATAGAAACCAAAGGAATGGCTCACGTTTACCCCGAGTGGGACATGGTAACCAGCAAACCGGAATTTTTAGTTATTACTTATCACGCCATGAATTGTAGATGGATCAATTTTTAATAGATACTATGCATTCCGTTTTGTCATTGGATGCGACACCCTCATCTCATCCTATTGTACAAACTGTTGTGACACCTGATCAGATCACGGAAATTTTCGATTCTATTACTTATGATAAAGTATGTAATTCTCCATTTTTGGCAAGTATAAAACCATCAAATTTTAGGGCGCGTCTCTATTGAGAATGTTGGACAACGCAATTACAGAAGAAACGTTTCGAAAAGGCGTAAAGGAGTATTTGCTGAAATATCGGTATGGTAATGCAGTCACGCAATATTTATGGGACGAACTGCAAAAACTAGTACCCAAGGATGTCAGTATAACGGATATAATGGGAACCTGGACAGTACAAATGGGATATCCCATTTTAACCGTTACAGATGAAGGAAAGGAGTATGTGCTGACTCAAAAAAGATTTTTAAAGGATTATTCCAATACAGTAGCTAAAAGTTCTCCATATGGGTAAGACAATCTTGTTAATCTACTTTAAACTTACTAAAATTATTAGATACAAGTGGTCGGTACCGGTAACATTTGTCACAGACTTAGCTCCCAAAAAAGCAGAAACACGTTGGTTTAAACACGACCAACCAAACAGTAAGACGTTCTATACGATATAAATATTTAACCAAAAAAAATTGCAGTTAAAATTACAAAACCACCCGGAATTAAATGGATTAAGTTTAATCACGACCAAGTGGGCTACTACCGTGTCAATTACACTCCAGATCATTGGAAACTATTGGCTGCAAATATGGCACAAATGACAACCTCGGACAAGGCACATCTATTGGAAGAATCATTTAGCATCGCCGAAAGCGGCGACCTTTCGTATGACATTCCCCTTCAGTTAACCTCCTATTTGCAGAAAGAGTTTCATTACGTACTCTGGAGCATTGGAGCGGGTAAAATAGGAAGTCTTAGAAAGTACTTGATTGATTCTCCAGACTACAATGAGTACTTGGTGTGTATTTTGTGTACAAAATGTGCGCGTAATTAACTTCAAATTTTAGAAATACAGATCGAAATTGGTTTTTAATGCATACAAGAGCATTGGATGGCTGGAGAGTGCACAAGATACGCATTTAAAACGTCGTGTAAGATCAATAATTTTATCTTTTGCATGCCAAAGTGGCATTGCTGATTGTCTAACGACGGCAAAAACAAAATTTGATTTGTGGCTGAAAGATCCTGCCAAGAATCCCGTTTCCCAAGAACTACGAAACATTGTCTACCACTACGGTAAGCACGAATCAATTAGGCAGTATAAATTGCGAAATTTGCAGGTATGGAGGGTGGAGGAAAGGACGAATGGTTTAACTTGCTCAATCTTTATAAGAAGGAAATTGATGCGAACGAAAAACTCAAAATGCTGGAGGCGTTGGCGGCCGTCAAAGAAACATGGTTACTGCAACAGTATGTAACTTATTCGTAAAATATGGTCTTACAAATAAATGTTTTAGCTTAATTCAGCTTGGAACTATTGAAGGAGAAGGTCAGCTTATTAGGAGTCAGGATTATTTCACTATGCTAGGTTACATCTCAAGTAATCCAATCGGAACATCAATTGTATGGAATTATGTTCGGTAAGATTATACCTGAATGCAAACCGATACCTGAATTATTACCTTTTTAGAGAGAATTGGAAGTATTTAGAAGAGCGGTTTGGTTTAAATGAACGATATTTGGGACGATTGATACCGACTATTACAAGTTCGTTTACAATGAACTTGCAACTTCAAGAGGTACATAGGTACGACATAACCGATATTTATATTGTAATCTTTTAGATGGAAACGTTTTTTGCTGCCAATCCAAATGCTGGTGCGGGAGCACTCGCTCGTAAACAAGCTTTAACCAATGTCAAAAATAATATCAAATGGGTGCGGTCAAACCGAAACAGCGTAATCAGCTGGCTTAAAAAGCACAATTCACAGTAAAGTAGCTTTAGATACATTCGTATATCGTACAGAAATTTTAAACAAATTCGATTTGTTCAATTAAAGCAATACATTATAGTGTTAAAAATTTATAAGATTTCCATTTTCACAAATGATTTCACTATACTATGTCTCCTTACAACCTCAATAAATAACATACCTAGGTACCGATACTCGCAGTTGAATACATTCGTCAGCCAGCAATCGCTATAATGTTTGCTGAAGTTGCTCACAGTAGCAACATGTAGATATGTTGTATTCAAAGTGATGCAGTTCGTTCCACCGTCAACCTTTAAACCTTACATAAAATTACCAAAAAGTATGACCTCTTTGTATGTTCTTCCTCCAGTCCAGTTTATTTCGCAATCTATTTATACTTATTATTAAGTACCCAAACATCAAGTCAAAAGTGCTACTTTGGATAGAAAATGCCCAAAAGGACGACCTATACCTATCCCAATATCGCCCATATGGAAACTAAGCCAATCTATTCTCACAACTCATAAGTAATTTCGACTACGGAATTCTCTTATTATGGCCATTTCCAATTACATAAGCATACACACTCAAAATTATTGTTTTATATATCCGCCCTCTTCATACAAAAATATGGTAGCAAAGTAGATTTTTTTAAATTAAAAATTGATAGTATAATCTGTTACATTGCGTAAGTCGGTAGAAATTGGCCTTATTTTTATGCATTTCACTAGTTCATTCTATTTTATTCAAGTAATGAAGGTACAGCCTGAAGCTTCAGAAATACCTTACTTATTAAGTTCATGCAGATACCTATACTAAGTGACATGGAAAATACAAGATCAACAAGATACGAAGAATCACATACAATTTTCAGTAGGGGAATTTTTTGCCACTCGTCTCGTATTCGGAAACCAGACTTTTAATCCGGCTCATACCCAATCAGAGTTGGACTGGGTCACTGGATCAACTGGGTCACCTGGGTCACTAAATTAAACTGGGTCACTGGGTCGCTGGGTACGTCATACTCTTTTCAGTTACACCCAGTGACCCAGTGACCCAACTTGACCCAGTTTGACCCAGTTTGACCCAGTGACCCAGTTTGACCCAGTGACCCAGTTTGACCCAGCGACCAAATTTCACCCGGGGACCCAATTCGACCCAATCACCTAGTTTGATCGAAGAACGCAGTTAAGTCAGTGCCCTCGGTTCAAGTGTACAGATTATGAAATAAATGCTTAATGCTGGTTTGGTGAAAATAATACTCGATTGCTTGACAACTGCCATTTCTGTGATGTTTGCTTTAATACTGCCGTAAAAAACTTTCCATGTCCCGAATTGTATTAGAATAATGTTATTTCTTTGCTTCAGGGCTTACCAGTTTGCTTACAGGTGTTCATTCACATTTAATTTTTTTCTACTAGTTAGCTTAATGCAAATAAATCTTTTCTCTAAATACTTTCATTGACTACTTGACTACAAACTATAAACAAATGCATTTGATTTTTTTAGGTATTAGTTCTCTTGAATGAAATTGGGCTAAGTGCTTGTTGCCGAATATTATTGAGGAAGTTTTTTTTTAAATTAAAAGTTACTTGAAATTGTTTTGGATGATACCTAACAATAATTTAATTACTGGGCCACCGGGTCAAGACGGGTCACTGAGTAAAGCTGGGTCAAGATGGGTCACTGGGTCAAGCTGGGTCACCGGGTCAAGTTGGGTCACCGGGTCAAACTGGGTCACCGGGTCAAGCTGGGTCACCGGGTCAAGCTGGGTCACCGGGTCAAGCTGGGTCACTGGGTCAAGTTGGGTCACCGGGTCAAGCTGGGTCACTGGGTCAAGCTGGGTCACCGGGTCAACTGGGTCACCGGATCACTGGGTCACCGGGTAACTGGGTCAGTAAACTAACTGGGTCACTCTATGCTTGACCCAGTCCAACTCTGTACCCAATAGCGCTGATCCTTGAACTCATAGAAATCGATTGGTGAAAGTTGGTCGTCGCAATCTCTTTTCGTGCTCGAGAGAGACGAACAAAACTATCACATAAGGGGAATTTTTTTTCTCTCGAAAAATTCCCCTAATTAAATCCCTAATTAAATCATTATTAGAGGCAAGTATATACCTACTTCATGAAAGTTTTAGTTATTTCTTCAGTGAGTTTTTTTATTACTTTCTTTTAACTTGCATTAAGAGTGCGCTAGAGCGCGACAGACATTAAAAGGCTTGGGTTTGGGGTAGAGCATTGCAACATACATACAATACCTATTCAAGTTTGAATTTAAATCTGCACTTTTTGAGTCAAATCCGGAATTCAAATACGAATTCTAACTTTACGTAGATTCTAAATTTAGATGGAGTACCTATTTGCTTTAAAACAGGCGATGAATTGTAGCCATTTATTTTTTTTAGATATTTTATTAAATTGCTTTATATTAATAAGCTACTTCTTATTTTACAACTGTAGGTATAGGACTTAAATTCGAAAGGTATTCTCACAATTAATCATCAAATTAGCAATCAAAACTGTCCTCAAACCTGCTTCACGTCAATAGAAAAGGCCGTAATTTTACTCAAATGCTTTCAGAAAATTATTAATAAACATAAAGTTCCATGCAAATGTAACTAACTCACATAGGCCTTTACTTACATTGACCTTCAAACTCCCATTCAATTTACTTTTTCATTCGGAATTTCCAAACCGTGTAGGGTAGTATCTAGATCCAATGGATCTAGATCCACGATATAGATCCATTATATAGATCTTGTATCTGGATCTAGATTGTATTATAATGGATCTTTCACTCGTCGATCCAAGATCTGGCAGGCAATTTCAATTTATATAAAAAAATGTACAATGTGTAGTACTCGTATTTAGCGGTCATGTTGATCATCATGCTCCGACTTGTGCTTTCGGAATTTTTCGAAAAAAATTGTGATTGGTTTTTTAATTAATTTATTTATTTTAGGTTGTTCTATACTACTCCGGTATTTACGTTACGAATTAGGAAAACTGCAGAAAAACCTAATTCGGAGTAGCCGACAGAATGCTCAAATCTGATCTAAGGAAATTCCCATCTCAGATGCCACAGATGAAAAATTCCCACCTTAACCCGACCTCCGGTTTTGTAGCCCAACGCTCTACCACTGAACCTTTATTTTTAATGATAGAAAGTTCATTTAAAAAACCATTTTGTAGGGTTTTACAAGAGCTACAAGACTATTTACATCAAATCCCTTCAAAACTCTTAGTTGTAAAATGGGGTGAGCACAAGGTAATGCTTGCATATAAATATATATCACTTAATTTTGATCGTACAGAAATTTAGCAGTAAGAAACATGTTTGGAATTAAAAAAGCTACAATTTGATGATGTGGCATGTTTTACGTATCTGCAGCTGTTTTGCAGTTATTTTGAATAGACGGACGTATTTCATAAAACCACAGAATAGTATATTGAAAGACAAGTGTTACAATGCGACCTATTGTAATACGACTATCTTGTGGCACGAGTGGCGCCGCGAAGCGTAGCCACGAGTGTCCGCAAGATAGGAGTATTAGAATAAAGCATTGTAACACGCGTTTTTCATACTATTTTTTCTATTTCGGTGCTTTAATTTAATTAAAAAAATCATTATCAGAAACTATAGGGAACATTAGAACTAACATGTTTTAGGTTGGAAAAGCTTTTTATGCCGTTAAGTTTTAGGTTGGCAGCGTAGTAAGACTGACATTTTGAAGTTCAAACATGGAAGTACCCAACGAAGTACCTACTTGTACTAACTAGTAACTGCCAACTTAAGAGATGAGTTACCAAAAAAAAACGACTATAATCACTGTCTTTGTACAACTGTTTTCGGCCGAAAACAGTCGTACAAAATCATCATTGTGACACCGAAATAGAAAAATTCTTTTTTCACAGCTTTTAGCTTTAGCTACTTCAAAATTAAAGTAGTTAGAGCCCCTATATAAAAGTAACAAGAAGTTGATAAAAATTTTGGTCACTTACTTGGGAGACGCACTTTCCAATGGTCAAAAGAAAAAAAGAGTTCCTATGTGCCGTTTCTGAGATATGTAACAGTAAAAATAAGGTATTTTAACATTGGCTTTTATGGACAGACTCGGTTTTTCGGAGCTAGCGAAGGTTTTTGTATCAAGACTTAAATGAGATGTGTGAGAAGCGAAATGTTGTGAGGAATCTAGATATGCAAGGAAAAGTACATGTTCATGATGAAATAAGGAAGATATGTGCCGCCAGCGCGTTCAAATCTGGTAACTTTCCCACCACGTCTAGTATATCATTCTCGAACTCGAAGCTTTGAAATTCAGTGGTAAGGTTGTTAAACAGCATTCAAATAATACCTTTTTAAAAATCATTTTTCTATTTCGGTGTCACAATGATGATTTTGTACAACTGTTTTCGGCCGAAAACAGTTGTACAAAGACAGTGATTATAGTCGTTTTTTTTTGGTTACTCATCTGCATCTCTTAAGTTGGCAGTTATTAGTTAGTACAAGTACCTAGATACAAAACTTCCATGTTTAAACTTTAAAATGTCAGTCTTACTACGCTGCCAACCTAAAACTTAACGGCATAAAAAGTGTTCCCAACATAAAACATGTTAGTTCTAATGTTCCCTATAATTTCTGATAATGATTTTTTTAAATTAAATTAAAGCACCGAAATAGAAAAAATAGTATGAAAAACGCGTGTTACAATGCTTTATTGTAATTCTCCTATCTTGCGGACACTCGTGGCTACGCTTCGCGTCGCCACTCGTGCCACAAGATAGTCGTATTACAATAGGTCGCATTGTAACACTTGTCTTTCAATATACTATTATGACGTTTGCATTGTGCTGAGGTACAAAATACCACTCATACCGTATTTCTAATTATGCTTCCTTCAAAAAAGTTTTTGGGTTCTTTTTAAGTAAGTAAGTAATAGGTAGGCCGAGGACATCGCTTAACTTCAGCCGAAAGCGCTCTTACTACTTTAAGACTTCTAAACTGATCACACTTCGTAAATGTGTTAATAATACGTACGTAATTAGAAAAAACTGAAAAAGGCGAAAGGACCAATTTCAGTTCAGTGTAGATGTAGATTTTGATCCTTA